TTGAGTAGTCCTCGACTTACGACCGGTTGGGGGTCACGGCATTAAAAAGGTTGAGAACCACTGAAATAGGTGAACAACCGGTTCTCTGCATGGATGCTGCTTCCGGAAGCCCATTCTGGGCCTGGGCAGCCAAAAATTAGCTACCAGTTCTGCTGAAGTGATGCATACCAGCTGAATCCCACCACTCACTATGTTCTATTTTTTTCAAATAAATGAATATCATAAAGCTAAGTTAGTCTAAAATATATTTGAGAATCTTTTCGTGCCCCTGGAAAGATGTTCTGTTTAATCTCAGCCTCATGTCTTGAGATAAGAAACCCGATTTACAAGCAACTATTGATTGACTGAAGCAGGAGAAAATCTGGTCTTAAATTCCAATCTCAGATGCCCTCTTTCTATATCCAGAAATGCTAAACTTTCATTTTTCAGCCTGTTATTTCAATGTTAAAGGAGAAACAAGTGGTTTCCTGCCCTGGGTAGATATCAATGATGGATATGTAAATTTCAATTCCATATTTTATTTAGCCTTTCATTCCTATAACGTGTTGGTGACTTCTATCACTTGGAAGTCACTTCCAAATGTGACCCTGAAAATCCACAGCAGAGTTTCACCAATTTTCAAGACCAGAAATCACAAATCCTGTATGTGGAGAGAGAAATCCTACCACCCACCCCAGGCTGCGAAAAAAACCAGACCTCCCCCCCTCCTGCTTTCATCACCTCCTTTGCATCATTATTTTCCCCAATGCAACCTTCAACATGCTAAAAACAGTTTTAGACACCCAAAGTTGCCCCCATTTGCCTACAGGGTGGGGCCATGCTACTACACTTTGCTAGCTATTTCACTTTCCAAGTCCAGGTAGTCCTTGACTTACAGCCATTTAGTGACCATGCACTTAAAAAACTGACTTATGAGTGTTTTTCATAGTTACAACCTTTGCAGCATCCCCATGATCATGTGATCAAAATTCAGACCACTGACTCATATTTATGACAGTTGCAGTGTCCCAGGATCACATGATCTTCTTTTGCAACCTTCCGACAAGCAAATTAATGGGGAAGCCAGGTTCACTTAATGACCACATGATTCACTTAACAACTGTGGCAATAATTGTAAAATGGGGCAAAACTCATTTAACAACTGCCTTGCTTAGTAATGGAGATTTTGGACTCAGTTTTGGTCATAAGTCGAGGACCACCTGTACTGCATGTGCAGATGGGTGAACATGTGTAGGAGAAAGCTGATTAAACATCAGAGGTTCTGAAATCATCTTGGTGGTCCTCAGTAGTATAGTTTAGCTCAGTGGTTCTCAACCTGTGGGTCAGGACCCCAATTGGGGTCGAACGACCATTTCACAGGGGTCACCAAACAACACAGTCCGCCATTTTTTCCCCCTTTTCCTTAGCTGTGCTACTCCCTTTTATTCTATTGGCTTTTGAAAGCCAATCGAATAGACTCTCTTGAATAGAGTCTAATTAGATTGGCTTTCCAAAGCCAACAGGAATTGTCCAGGCTGTCTCTGCCCTGCTGAGCCCGCCAAAAGTCCCATTCTGCAAACGGTGCTGCACTAGTTGAGTAGTCCTCGACTTACGACCGGTTGAGTAGTCCTCGACTTACGACCGGTTGGGGGTCGCGGCATTAAAAAGGTTGAGAACCACTGGTTTAGCTGTTTTTTTTTTCCTAACCATCTGCTCTTGGGAATCTGGAGGACATTAAGCAGAGTAGTGGGGAAAGGCAGATGAGTCAGTACTTATGAATGATAAGTGCTACCTAGGATTACAGTCAGATTCAAAAGTTGCTCAAGACATGTGCACTACAAAACTAATTCAGGAAAAATATGTCGATGCAGATTCTCAGTTTTCCAGCCAGCGTCTTCTGTAAGTTGAGTCATAGCAAGAGCAACAAAGATGATTAGGGGACTGGAAGCTAAAACATATAAGGAACGGTTGCTGGAATTGGGTCTGTCTAGTTTAATGAAGAGAAGGACTGGGGGGGGGGGCGCAATATGATAGCAGCCTTCCAATATCTCAGGGGCTGTCCCAAAGAAGAGGGAGTCAAGCTATTCCCCAAAGCGCCTGAAGGCAGGACAAGAAGCAACGGGTGGAAACTAATCAAGGAGAGAAGCAACCTAGAACTAAGGAGAAACTTCCTGACAGTGAGAACAATTAATCAGTGGAACAACCTGCCTCCAGAAATGGTGAATGCTCCAACAGTGGAAGTTTTTAAGAAGAGACTGGACAGCCATTTGTCCAAAATGGTATAGGGCAATGAAGGCAGACCTTTTAGAGACTGAATGCCCAAAAACTGGCCCTGTCCCGCTCCATCCCCTGCCCCGCCCCCACTCCACCCCCCCATCTCCCATCCCGTCTGCCTGCAGGGCCACTCACTGCCTCCAGGGCCCGCCGCAGATCACTCAGGCAGCCCAGCAGCACTATGGTGGTCACGCCCTCTGCCTGCGCCCTGCAGCATCAACTGTGCATGATGCGGTGTGAGGGCAGAGTCTTGTCTACACTGCCTGGCTGCCATGTCCTTGGCTGCGCTGCTCCGGATGGGCCACGCTCAGGGACGACTCTCCTCCAGGGGGCCTGCTGGAGAGGAGTGGGTCACGGGGGAGGTGAGGCTGGGGCAATGGCACGTGTGCTCCCAGAGAGAGCTCCAAGTGCCACCTCTGGCACCCGTGCCATAGGTTCGCCACCACGGTATAGGGTTACCTGCCTGAGCAGGGGGTTGGACTAGATGACCTCCAAGGTCCCTTCCAACTTTATTATTATTATTATTATTATTATTATTATTATTATTATTATTATTAATCATCGCACAGTCAGCCAGATGTTCAGACTGGATTTGGCATTTTGTCTACCTATCAAGTCCTTACCCAGGACCTGGGATAGGCAGATGTGGATGTTGGATGGTATTACAGATATCGTCGCAGGATGGAAGCAGTTCCTAGTAAGGCCGCCTTTTGCAATTGACTAATAGCGAATTTGTCAATACCAATGGTGTTCAAGTGGTGCTCCAGTTGTTTTGGGACCTCCAAAGTCCCTTCCAACTTTTTTTTTTATTATTATTATTATTTAGATTTCTTTTCTTGTTGGTTTGAAATGTTCCACTGCTCATCAAAGCAGTTCCCTCAGTCAGAGCAAATTGGTTAAACAGAGTTATTGGAATATACCGACTCCTCCTCTTCCTCCACCAAACCTTACGATTTCTTCCCCAAAATGTGCAGCAATATGTATCAGAAAATAAGTCCAGTTGCCATGGCTGAACTTACAGATACCTAAACTTGGATGACTGAGAATCTGCATTGACGTATTGCCATGAATATGTGAAATGGGTATATTCCAACAATCCTCTGCCTAACCAACTTGGTCTGACTGAGAGAGCGGCTGGAATGAGCAACTAAAGTCCAGTTGCCAGGCTCAGCTTACAGATAGTTCAGGAAAAGTTCATCCATGCAAGCAGTCAGACACTGAAGACTGTCCTCATGTATAAGAGGTCTCTTGGCTATGTAGGGTCAGTTACTTATTTTTTTTAACTGAGATCCCACAGGGTTATGGGGGTGGGGGGAAATGGAGAAAGAACTGCTATGTATGATGCCTGGAGCTCAAATCTGAAATTAGGATACAAGCAGTCCTTGATTTACAATCATTTGTATAGTAACCATTCGAAGGATGGAAATTAATTCTTCTAATCAAAGACTAATCAAGGAAACTAATCAAGGAGAGAAGCAACCTGGACTGAGGGAGAAACTTCCTAACAGTTAGAATAATTAACAACCTGCCTCCAGAAGCAGTGAATGCTCCAATACTGGAGGTTTTTAAGAAGAGACTGGACAGCCATTTGTCCGAAATGGTATAGGGTTTCCTGCCTGAGCAGGGGGTTGGACTAGAAGACCTCCAGGGTCCCTTCCACCTCTGTTCTGAATTTGAATTTGAAAGTTAGCAAATGTACTGAAAAAAGTGAGTTATGAACAGTCCTCGCAGTTACAACCCTAGCAGAATTCCAAAAATCACAAGATTAAAATTCAGATGGTTGGCAACATATATCTATGTGATCCCTGTTTATGATCTACCCAATTTGCTCCTGACAAGCGGAGTGAAATGGGGGAAGGCAGATTTTTTTTAATGGTTGCATAGTTCAGTTAACAATTGCAGTGATTCACTTAACAACCAAGGCAAAAAAAGGTTGTAAATTAGGATATTGACTCACTTTGCAACCACCTTATTTAGCAACGAAAATACCAGTCCCAATTGTGATCGTAAGTTGAGAACCACCTGTCCACAACTCACAATCAATTCACACCAATTGCTTCAAAGCCATAATAGATCTTTTAACATCTGGATGGCAAAGCTGGGTTACAGCCAGGAAGCGAGTTGAGCTATTCATTGGGGCTAAAGGATATTTCGTGCCTGTCCATCCAATCCTCATTATAGTTCAACAATTGGAGGACTGAATATATTAAACCAGGTTTACAAAGTGAGATTTTCAGCCATCCACAACTCTGGCTTTGATATGGCTAAGCAAGCATACAGTTAAATACAGGTAGTCCTCAGCTTACAACGGTTCGTTTAGTGATCATTCAAAGTTGGAACAGCACTGAAAATGTGACTTCGGACCCTTTTTCATAGTTACAACCTTTGCGGCATCCCTATGGTCACATAATCAAAATTCAGATGCCTGGCAAGTGGTTCATATTTATGACCTTTACTGAGTCCCCGGGTCACGTGATCTCCTTTTACGACCTTCTGACCAGCAAAGTCAATGGGGGAAGCCAGATTCACTGAACAACTAGGTTACTAAGTGATCCACTTAACAGTTGTGGCAAGAAAAGTCGTAAAATGGAGGAAAAGCTAACTTAACAAATGAGAGATTTTAGACTCCGTTGAGGTCGTAAGTCAAGGACTACCTGTACTAAGAGGGTTTTTTTTTTTTTTTTTTTGCAAGATCTGGCTCCAATTCAACCACCCTTTCCATCATCACACCCTGAAAATTGACTTACAGAGGGAACCCAGAAATCTGGAACGAAGTCGCTTAGTCCCAAATCCCAATCTCGGTCTTCTCGTTCTCAGGGTCTCTCTAAAAAGAAAACCTGCTCCGCTCTTCTGTATCTTCAGCCTGGCTCAAATCTCTTGCTGGCCACTTGCAAGGGGATTATATCTGGGAGCTCTGAGCTATGTTGGGAAGATGAAAAATGTGGTCTATTTTTAGAGGATAGCCAAGTTGCTATTTCACCCGGCTGAGTCAATCACAGCTCCTTGTAACCTTGGTGGGAAAAGGCGAAGATATTTCGGAGATACCAGGAGCAGAAGCCCACCCAGGAAGCTTGCAGTGCCCAGAAAATTAAGTCATATGAAAGCCCCATATGGAAAGAGGCCAAATTTCAAAGTAGTCATTCAGGGGAAAGAGACCTGAGTCACTTGCGAAGGTTTCAGGGTCATGATGACACACCATGGTTGTCAGATGACGTTGCTGTGATGTGGTCCGAAGCTAATAATGGGTCTGTCTCCTATTCCATGAAAATCCTTGGGCTTCTTCCAATTCATCCCATTGACACACAACGCTGAATGGTGGACCTATCGTATTTGTATTCATACTTTTCTATTTCTGTCTATCTAAATCTACTCATCTTCTTACATTTCTCTCTAAACTAGTCAGTTTCTCTCTTGCACATGCCATTAAGTCACTTGTGACTTGAGATTGCGGCTTCCAGTAAGCTGAGGGCATATACTGGTCCTGTATCTCTTCTTTTTAATACAAAAGAGGGGACTTCAAATTTGGCCCTTTTATGACTTGTGGACTTCAACTCCCAGAATTCCTCAGCCAACATGCCTGGCTGAGGAGTTCTGGGAGTTGAAGTCCACAAGTCATAAAAGGGCCAAGTTTGAAGAACCCTGATATTTATTTATTCATTTATTTATTTATGAGACTTATATACCGCTTTAAGTGCAAGCACTCTCTAAGTGGTGTACACCAGTAAGCAATGTGTATATATATATATATATATATATATATATATATATATATATATATATATATATATATGTGTTTTCTGAGGTTTTCGCGGGTATTTGTATGTAGGTCTTTGGTTGTTCGGGTTTTCTCCCACGTAAAATTGGAAGTGTCTTGGCGACGTTTCGACGAAGTCCCATTCGTCATCTTCAGGCTGGTGCTTTCAGCTTCGTGCCTCGAGCAGCAGTGTGTGGTCTTGGCTGTTTCTTCCTTTTAACTGCCAGTGGAGGTATGAACTGATTGGGTGGGAGCTTGGCTGTGTTCTGATTGGGTGGAGGTGTGTTCTGATTGGTTAGGGGCTTGGCTGTGCTCTGATTGGCTGGGGGGTTGGCTGTGCTCTGATTGGCTGGGGGGTTGGCTGTGCTCTGATTGGCTGTGTCTGTTTGGTTGTGCTCAGGTTAGTCTGAGTTGCAGAGGGATTCAAGATTTTGGGCTGCCCTGCCATTCCTTGGCTTCGCGTTCGTGGTCGTGCTTCCTCTTCATGGAGGGTGTCAGTTTGCTTCATGTATGGATTGGGGGGGTTTAAAGTGGCTAATGATGCAGCTGTGGTCTGGCTTCTGGTTTGTGGTCGTGCCTCATAGTCAGTGTGGCTTTGGGTTTGTTTTTTGCGTGGATGTTTGGTGGTGACATCCTGTGTGGTTTTTGTGAGTGTGGGTCTGGTATCATTTTTTGTGTTAGGGAGTCGTTTGTCAATGAGGGCGGGTTTCCAAATGGCTGGTAGGCGGGAGGTATCATCTCGCTTGTTCATGCTGTGTGGGCGTTTTTCTATCTCGATGGCTTCTCTGATTATTCTGTTATTAAAATGTTCACTTTTGGCAATGGTTCTGGTATTTTTAATATGCAGAATCCATCACCTCACACGTAAAAAACTCATTCCAGTTTATAGAGATCATAAAGAAACAAAACTTACAGCCCAGCGACCTACTAGTGAGCTTCGATGTCATATCCCTCTTCACCCAAGTGCCTATCAAAGAAGCCTTGACAGCTATCCAAAACAAATATAACCCCCCCAAACACATCTTAGATCTGACCAACCACTGCCTATCCAACACATACTTCATCTATAATGGACAAAAATACAAACAAACAGAAGGAGCACCCATGGGATCACCCCTCTCACCTGTCATTGCCAACCTCTACATGGAACACTTTGAAACCCAAGCTCTAGAAAAATCGGATCACAAACCCAAACTCTGGCTCAGATACGTAGACGACACCTTCATAATCTGGCCACATGGGAAAGAAAAACTGGACAACTTCCTCACACACCTCAACAGCCTACACCCCAAAATACAGTTCACCATGGAAACAGAAGCTAACAACCAACTTCCCTTCCTGGATGTCTTAGTCTACAAGAAATCCAATGGCTCCCTAGGACACACCATCTACCAGAAGAAAACACACACAAACCGCTATCTGCACGCTCTCTCACACCACCACCCAGCACAGATCAACTCTGTAGCCAAGACACTCATCTCCAGAACAAAACGCTTAGCTGACGAACAACACCTAAAACCTGAACTACACACTCTCACCAATGTACTAACATCCAATGGATTCCATAGAAATAAGATTACAAACCTAATCCAAAAAGAAACCCCCATTAAAATCCAAGACAAAGAACAAGAAAACGGCAAAGCCATCCTCCCATACATAAAAGGCATCACAGACAGAATCAGTAAGATCCTCCATAAACACAACATCAAAACAGCATTCTGCACAAACAGAAAAATATCCACCATCCTTAGAAACCCCAAAGATAAAATTGAATTAGAAAATCAAGGAGTATACGAAATCCCATGCACCACTTGTCCCACCACATACATCGGACAAACCAACAGAAGAATAAGTGCACGCATTGAAGAACATAAGAACTCAGTCAAAAAAGAGGAACCAACATCTTCCCTGGTCCAACACCTTAAAGCTACAGGACATGAAATTGACTTTAAAAATACCAGAACCATTGCCAAAAGTGAACATTTTAATAACAGAATAATCAGAGAAGCCATCGAGATAGAAAAACGCCCACACAGCATGAACAAGCGAGATGATACCTCCCGCCTACCAGCCATTTGGAAACCCGCCCTCATTGACAAACGACTCCCTAACACAAAAAATGATACCAGACCCACACTCACAAAAACCACACAGGATGTCACCACCAAACATCCACGCAAAAAACAAACCCAAAGCCACACTGACTATGAGGCACGACCACAAACCAGAAGCCAGACCACAGCTGCATCATTAGCCACTTTAAACCCCCCCAATCCATACATGAAGCAAACTGACACCCTCCATGAAGAGGAAGCACGACCACGAACGCGAAGCCAAGGAATGGCAGGGCAGCCCAAAATCTTGAATCCCTCTGCAACTCAGACTAACCTGAGCACAACCAAACAGAACACTCCCCCAGCCAATCAGAGCACAGCCAACCCCCCAGCCAATCAGAGCACAGCCAAGCCCCTAACCAATCAGAACACACCTCCACCCAATCAGAACACAGCCAAGCTCCCACCCAATCAGTTCATACCTCCACTGGCAGTTAAAAGGAAGAAACAGCCAAGACCACACACTGCTGCTCGAGGCACGAAGCTGAAAGCACCAGCCTGAAGATGACGAATGGGACTTCGTCGAAACGTCGCCAAGACACTTCCAATTTTACGTGGGAGAAAACCCGAACAACCAAAGACCTACATATATATATATATATATATATTTACATTGCCCCCAACAATCTGGGTCCTCATTTTACCTACCCCGGAAGGATGGAAGGCTGAGTCAACCTTGAGCCGGTGAGATTTGAACCGCTGACCTGCTGAACACAGTCAGCTAAAGTGGCCTGCAGTACTGCACTCTAACTGCTGTGCCACCTCGGCTCTTAAATAATATAAATGATGCTGCACTTCAATGGTTAGAAGACTTAGACATTAGTATTTGATCTATGTCCATTGAAGTTAGGAGTGCTAGTCCATGTATGATGTACTGTATGCTAATTAAATAAATACATTTATGGCCTTTCTTGATACAGTTATTAAGTGAATCACTGCAGTTGTTAAATCAGTAACAAGGTTGTTAAGTGAATCTGAGTTCCCCATTGACTTAGCTTGGCAGAAGGAGCTAGGATTAGGGTTAGAGTTACAAATATTCATAAATATGAACCAGTTGTCAAGCATCTGAATTTTGATCATGTGACCACAGGGATACTACAATGGTTCTAAGTGTGGAAAAAGTCGTGTCACTTTCAGTGCCATTGTAACTTCAAACAGTCACTAAATGAACTATTATAAGTCAAGGACTACCTTGACTTATAAGGTTGTTAAATAGACACTGCAAGGATCAAGTGAACACCATTTGTTAAACAATTACATTATTCCCAATGGGCATTTTTTGCTGGACCCTGAAAATCTGGAAACTGGCAAAAAAATAGAATGCTATAAATCAGGGATGTCAAACTGCCGGCCCGTGGGCCAGTTCCATCATACTGGAGCCACGCCCACCCCATTACTGGCAATGGCAAAAAAGCTCCGATACGTTGCATGATGTCACGTGACGTCACAAGTTTGACATGCCTGCTATAAATGGTCATAAATCTGAGCCACTTGCCAAGCACATAAATATAATCATGTGACCACAAGGGGGGGAATGCAGCTGTCATAACTTCTAAATCGCTTCATAAATCGCGATGGGGGAGGGGGTCCATTGTAACTTTACAAAGGACAGGTCATTAAGCGAGGACTACCTGTTTTCAAGCCACAACAAGCAAAGAGCAGTTGGATGTTTAATCTGATTTAATAAATGGGTTGTTAGTCCTTCATTCAAGTAAACTGGAGCAGGGCTTTTCAACCTTTTCACCCATTGTGCCACTTTTAGGATATGGCAACATCCGAGTACCACCAGTCGCCTAGCAAGGGGTCAAAAACTTGATGACCAAAAAAAAAAAAAAGGAAAAAAGTGATAAAGTACAGATAGTCCTCGACTTACAACAGTTCGCTTAGTGACTGTTCGAAGTTACACTGGCACTGAAAAAAGTGCCCCCCAAGCCACAGCCGAGCAAGACAGCGCCCGGCGGTGCTCTTCCTCCTGTCTGAGGTTTCCATTGTTCTGAGCATTTCTGTTGAGGATTGGTAGCGGGGGTGGGGTGGGGGTTGGTTTTTATTCCCCCCGTCTGCTGGATGGTTGCAGCAGGTTTGGTCACCTCACATGATCCTGGGACACTGTGACTGTCATAAATATGAATCAGTTGCCAAGCATCTGAATGTAAATCACAAGACCCTGGAGATACTGCAACATTCCAGCTGATTAGCGC